TTCATTATATTACAAAATCATTATTATTAAATAAAGAATAAATAGTTTAGTGCTTAACTAGGAGATGCATTATGAATATAAATTTAATTCTTTATGCTCTATATTTTAATTTTAACATTCTAAAAAATCTGAAAGAAAATATTTCTTTATATTGTGTTTATATCAGTTTTGGACAAAAGGAATTTAATTTCTAGAATATAAAATAATAGAAAATTATAGAAAAATATTTAAATTATTTTGGAGTAATTTTTTAAAGCACATAGGCAAAATTATTAGTAAATTTAGAAATGAATTTTCATTCGCCTTTTTTACTCTAAATAAAATAAATAAATATTTAATGGAATATGTATTTCTTTTAACTTATAAATAGATAATATAATTTGGATGTAAAGTGCAACTCTTTGTTTCTTTTATTCATTTTTTTGTTTTTGGTTTAACTCAAACATATTTTATAGAGTTTTAATTTATTTGTAATATTTATTTGAAATTTAAATTTTTTTAATTATAAATTAAGATTATTATAAAATATATAATTTAAATAGGGTATAATATGGCTTTATTCCTATATATTTTAAAGAGTTTATATATGGGCATATTAATTTAAATTTTATATTTATTAAGAATGATAATTTAATTTAATTATCTATATTTAATATAAAAAGAGCTTAATAGGTATTTCTGTACCTGAAGAATTTATTTCCTAACATATTAAGTTTAATAATATTTCTCATTAACCATTACAAATTAATATCCCGTAAAGCTTAAAACTAATTAAGTTTTTGAATGTTATGACCATATATTTTTAAACTTAGAAAATTTAATTATTAAAGTAAATTTTCGTTAATTAACAGTTTCTATTTTAAACAATATGGGTTACAGTTACAACTTTTAGAAAAACTTAAAAGCAATAGATATTTTTCTCTTTTTTAGTTTTTTTTACCTTCTCTAAAAAAATGAAAAGAGTAGATGGGAGGAAGGGTTTAGGGAATCTAAAGTATTGACTTAACGAGCATAGTCAGGTAGAAAGGGGCTCCTAAAGCTCCTTCATCATTGCCCAGTAAAAAATGCTTTATAGTTAATGGTTAATATAAAAGAAAGTGATTATTGTTTCAACATTGTCAAATTCTTCCTTTTATATTTATCAATGATTCTTCATTTACTCTAGGTACAACACAATAAGAACATGTAAAGAAAAAAAAAAAATTTCACAAAATGGCCTCTTCAACAACTAAGTGTTGTGTTATGCCTAAAAATGCCCTTCAACACATGTCACTTAAAGAGCCGCTCACTACTTCCCAATGTTAAACATTTAAACCATACAGTATTATCCAGAGTCACAATTAATTTTAGAGATGACTCATAACACCAAGACAAATGCCTTGAACTCACTTACTTGCATCACCAGGCTCATTCATGCACATGCTTATTGCCATGGCACTAGATCTAGAGGGAGAAGATACCCAAGCCACAAAAGCTAGAGCTCCAAAAATAAATTGCCATCATGTAAATTGTGTTCTGCACATATCTTAGGGTGCATCACCCACATCTATTGCCATGGTGCCATTCAACTCTAAAACTCATCAATCTCCCAAACCGAGTATAGTTCTTCCTAACAATTTACAACCTTGCATTGGTGAAATTGTGGTTTGTGCTCTTGTCATGCTTGTAAGGCTATGTCCTATACTACTCTTGAAAAAGCACTCATTACTGCCTAATGCTAAACATTTAAACCATAGTTGACCACCTTACAATTAGAGTGCCAAAAAAAATATCTTGCATTGCTATGGCTCATTTGTGCTTGGGCACCTTGCATTGCTAGGCTCATTCATGGCTGCTTGCTGCCAAGCTCATTCATGGCCATGCCTACTTCCATGGCACTAGACTGCAATCCTGTATACCACTAAGCAATGAAGCCCTAGAGAAATCTCTAATCAGGACATAGTGAAAGTCTTTGAGATGCTCATTGCTTCCCTACCATGATATCATGGAGAGCAAGAAAACACCTAGTCTACAAAGCTAAATTGCATCACTACACTCTCTCACCAACCCCAATTATGGTGCTGCTTACATACCATGAGCATGAAACCCTAGAATTGCATGTCAACACCCCCTCTTCCCTTCCTTGCCACATGTGCACATTGCCCATTGGCAGCCAAAACCTCTACCCAATTCTTCCTGAAAGCATGTCTTCCAAAGTTGCCCCATGCAATGGTTGTGAGAGGTTGGGCTCTTCATTTATATATATATATATATATATATATATATATATATATATATATATATATATATATATATATATATATATATATATATATATATATATATATATATATATATATATATATATATATATATATATATATATATGTTTTTATGTCAAAAAAATTAAAAGACTGTTCTATAAACTTTATAACTTCATACTGTGCTTTACTCTAATACAATATGTGATTATAAATAGAAAATTTAATTAAAACATAATTTTAATTCTTATACACTCCAATAGATTAGTAAGCTGTGCAGATAGGAAAATGACTAGTTGTATCCATATATATAAGGGATTTCTTTTTGTGGTTTGTATTGGTTTGGAAAATATACAATCATTTTGAGTATATTTTTCTTTATATAATTTCACTTACTACATTTATATATAAATTAAAAAACATATTATTACTTAACTTTAAGTATTTTATTCAAAAATCTCAAATAAAAACAAAATGATAATGAAAGAATAAAGTGAAAAAAGAAAAATATAAATAATGATATAAATATAATTATATGACTAAGTTTTAATATATATTAAAAAATTTAACTAGATATAATTATAAGCAACTAATTTTTCTATCCTACTTTATTCATTTAACCACACCTTTGATCACTTGAAAGAGTCTCACTCACAATCTTCATAAGTCCTCTTCTAGATTTGAAGACTTGCTAGCTTTGTGAATGGCCTTTAGACCACTTTACTTTTGCACTTAGTCCAAGTGTTCTATATGTCCAATTTCATAATAAACACCCAAAGGTACTATTGACATATCAACATATTATGCTAAAGTCGTATTCATTCATCTTTATCTTATTAATAGTCTAAAACCACCTGTACCATAGTCTCATCTCCCAAAACTGGGGCATAGATATCCATGAATGGTCATTCTATGACTGCATCTTACGATCCTTAGGATGCCTAGGGACATGGGGAACACCCTTCCCTAATACCCTTTCTTCAATCCCTATTAAGTCCCTCTTCGTTCATACTTGTGCTCGCCAATATTGCCACTAGGTTAGGGCTTAACTACTAAATCCTATTGACCTTTGGGATTTTTTCATCACGTGACTGTCCTTGGTCACTATACAAAAGGACTATTTCTCTTCTTTTTCACAGTTTAGGATTTTGGGATGATATTTCGAAACACCACAGCCCAATGCAAGCCTCATAAATACTCCTTCCACCTTCTCCCTCTAAGTGTCCTAGCCATATGGCTAGAGTGAAGTTCTAGTGAGCCACACTAAGTGTCCAAATAGGTAATGCCACCTATACTTGGATTGGAAGCATTAACCCTTCAAACTCTTGGGGGAGTTAGCTTTTGTTAGGTGCCAGCTTTGACTATATGGTCAACGTTGGTCAAAGGGAAGCTCAAGGGTATATCAAGGCATGTTAGGGTAAGGGACTTAACTTACCCTAGGGCTCATAGTGGAGCAATGGTGCAATGGAGGTAGCTTAGAGGTGGTTGGGTGGTGAGGAACCTCAAGAGGAGGCATAGCGTAATCTAGGGCAACAAGCTCTTTGTCCTTTTTTGCGCCAGTTCATAACATTGGTATTAGAGGAGTTGGTTGTGATGGTCAACCAAGTTGAATGTTGGAATCCTATTGTCGATGGTGGTGCCGATGATGGTGCCGACGGAGTTGTGGAGATTTGGACCATTCAAGTTGTGGTTCATGAGTTGCGAGCCCTTAATCGAAATCAGCAAGAGATGCAAGACGAAATGCATGGCATGATGGATACCATATATGGGCGAGTTGAGGCACTTGAGGTTGGACGTGTTAGTGCTCCAAGTAACCCATATTTGGTAGATCGACTCAAAATTCCAACCTTTTTTGGTGACGGTGGTGTGGACGAGTGTCTCGTTTGGCTAGCTAATGTGAAGAAATTCTTGTCTGCTAGGGGAACTCTAAATGCAAAAGCTTTAGTGGCTATTCCAATGGTTTTGCGTGATGTAGGTTTATAGTGGTGAAATTGGCTTGAGGAGTTTTGTGTTGCGGATAAGAAATTATTAGTGTCTACCATGGATGAGTTTGAGGTTACTTTCTGATTACATTTTGCCCCCTCACTACGATGTGGAAAATGCTTGTACAGAACTTTGACATTTCCAGCAAGGGAAAATGACGCTCAGGAACTATATTGAGAAGTTTACTCGCTTGATTAACTGTGTTCTAATAAAGGATCCAGATTAGAACAAATCATACTTCATTGATGGCCTTCATAGTGAGAGTATGCGGCAACACTTGCATCATTCTCAGCATACAAAGAGTTTGGAAGAGCTCTTTGATGCGGCTCGTTGACTTGACAATGACAAGCACAAGTCTTGCAAGCGTTTGCGGAGTCCTTCTGTCGAAAATCATCATGATAATCACTATGGACACAAAGATGGGAACAAATACCACAAGTTGAAGTCTGTGGTAACTACTTCAGATGCAAAGGGGTCAAAGAAGCAAAAGTTCTTTATAAAGAATTATAGACAAGGCTGTCATCATTGCGGCGAGCTTGGACACTACAAGGTTGATTGTCCACAGCTGAAGAACAAGTAGTAGAGCAAGAAGAATGGCCAATCTTTTACTGACGGTAAGTCAGATACTAAAAAGTTGCAAACTTTGCAGTGTAAAGATGACAGGGACGACCATTCCGGTCGGAGGAAGAGGTTTTTGATTGTTGCTCATCAATTCAATTGTGTGTGGAACAAGATGAAGCTTGAGGATACTCGTGAATCAGCTTTAATGCTGGAGGCATGTTCCGTGGTGGTCCAATGTGGATTTTACTAGATAGTGGGAGTGATGACAACTTTGTTTCGGCAAAGTTTGTTGCGGAGCATAGCCTGGTCACATGTGGAGTTCCTCCATACACGGTGGAAGGTGCAGCTACCTCTGCTCAACATATCAATGCTTGTGTAGAAGGGTTGAAAGTGTTGGTTGACAAGACCACACTTGTGGAGATTTTTTATCTTGCGGATATCCATCGTATGGATCTCATTCTTGGGATGTCATGGTTGGTGAAGGTGGATCCGGAGATCAAGTGGAGCATTAATCGTGTTTTGTTAGAATATGGTGGTGTTAAAGATGTGTGGTTTGAAGAGGGAGTTCAACCTTTAATTGTTACACTCTCCACTACATCTTTGAAGTGAGCTTGTCATAATGAAAAATCACTTTCAACTTACTTATTGTTTGTTTATGACTTGGGGGACCAAGACACGTGTGGGGGAGAAGCAGTAGTATGGGATGTACTTAATGAGCTTTCTAATATTTTTTCATTTGAACTTCCTCATGGGTTGCCTCCATTATGAGATGTGGAGCATGGGATTATATTGGAGCTGGAGACGCGGCCAATTTACTGGCATCCATTTCAGTTAAGTTATGTAGAGGAGTAAGAAGTTCAACGACACGTCAAGGAGTTACTTGAGTTAGGATTTATTCAGCCAAGTAAGTCTCTATTTGGTGTTCTGGTCTTGCTTGTGAGGAAGAAGGACAGTTCAATGCAGATATGTATTGACTACCGTGCCTTGAACAAAAAGACAGTGAAGGATAAGATGCTGATGCCGCATGTGGATGATATCTTAGACAAGCTTGGTGAATCACGAATGTTTACCAAGATTGATATGAGGAGTGGATATCATCAGATTGCAAACCAAGTAAATGTGACTAGTGCATTCGTCAAACCAAATGGCATAACTATAAACTCAAAATGTCTGAAGCTTGTGCTGAATGTTGTTTTGGAGATAAATGCATTAGAGGTATTTGGGTGTTATCTTCATGAGTTTGTGGAGATTTTCTTGGACAATATTCTTTTTTCAGCAAGAATATGGGAGTTTGGTGGATGGGATTCTCTACTACAATAGCCGTGTCTATTTGCCACAGGTGGATGCATTAATTACTCAAGTTTTATCCACTATCATAATCGTCTGGAGGCCAGTCATTTTGGGGGGAAGAAGATGTATGAGTTGATTAAGCACAATTTTTATTGGAGGAATATAAAGATTAATATCTTCGAGTATTGTAAATCATGTGAGCTTTGTTAGTGGGTTAAGGTGCCATGGGAGAAGTTGGGGGGACTTTTGCAACTTTTACCTATTCCTCAAAGCCATTAGTGTAGTATCTTTATGGACTTCATCACTTGTTTGCCACAAATACAGAGGCAAAAGGAGTAAGTATGGGTCATAATGGATCGGTTGATGAAGTATATGTGGTTCTTGGCTCTTTGGAAGATTATCATTGCCTCAGACTTGGCTGTGGTCTACTTGGAGAAGGTTTTTCCAGATTTTGGTTTGCTGGAGGACATCATTAGTGATCTAGATTCAAAGTTCAAAAGTGGATTTTGGAAGAGCTTTATGAATGTTATACATGTGACTTTGAAACTCTCAAGTGGTGATCATCCTCAGATGGATGGGCAAACTGAGTGTGTGAATCAGGTGGTGGAAGATATGTTACGTTGTAGCATTGGTCAAAGGCAAGGACAATGGGATCTTTATCTTCCGTTAATGCAATTTACTTACAACAATAGCCAACACAGTGGAATCAAGCTAAATCCTTACCATGCCATGTTTGGAAAACATTGCCAAACAATGGTGAAGTTGGGATTGCATTTTAGTAAGGATGTTCAAGATAAGCTTGATTCTGAGGCAATTGATTTGGCTATAGAACTTGATGAGATTCTGGTGGTGTGCAAATGGAATTTGCAGGTAGCTAAGAATAAAGTGGAAAAGTTTGCTAATGAGCATCACCAATTCCGGGAATATAAGGTGGGTGATCTTGTCTTTGTGTGAGTGATCTTTCTGTCAAATGAGTGGCAGAACACCTTGGTGCCTTTACAGACAAGGAAGAGTGACAAACTTTCCCATCGATATGCTGGTTCATATAAAGTGCTGGAGCATATTGGTAAAGTGGCTTATCAGGTGCAGATGCCAGCTAGGGTGAAAATTCATCTAGTATTTTATGTCAACCAGTTGAAAGGTATATTATCTCGGAGTGACGGGCTTAATGCCTCCTTGATGTATACAGCTGTGGAAGATGGACCAAGAGCTTGAGCAAAGTTCCCTAGAAACCAGTACAACTCGTCCTTAGGACAAGGACTTTATTGGGGGGGGGAAGAATTGTTAGGCACTAACTTTGACCATGAAGTCAACATTGGTCAAAGGGAGGCTCAAGGGTATATCAAGGCATGTTAGAGTAAGGGACTTAACTTACCCTAGGGCTCACAACGGAGAGGCGGCGTATTGGCTTTTGAGGTAGCTCGGGGGTGGTTGGGTGGTGAGGAATCTCAAGAGGAGGTGTAACATAATCTAGGGCAACTAGCTTTTTGTCTTTTCTTGTGCCGGTTAATAACATTGGTATTGGAGCCCTATTCGATTCTCATGGTTGACAAGTGGGGTAAGAATATTTTGAAGGAATATCCAATATGGTGGATCTAAAGAGAGAACCAAAGTTTGGTAGACCCTAAGAGAAGGACCATGGTGACTAGAGGGTAGCCTAAATATGATCATGGACAATCATTCCCTAACAAGGGGAGGATTATGAGGCACTAAGTTAGGATAATAGGATAAAGAAAGGGCCTTGCAATCAAGTGATCACCCCTTTAGTCAGTTGGCTTAGGGTGTAAGGGATAGGATCTTAATAGCTTTTGAACACTTCACCAAATTATCCCACTTATTAATTCATATTCATGATAGTCTTGAATTCCTCAATAGTTATATCATCACCCCCTATGTAATGTAGCCTTTCTTGACCAAAGTAGTTTCACTGGAGTCCAACCCCCACACTTTCTTTACTATACTTTTGGAAATCCCTCCCCACCTGCTCCCGGGGGACAATTGCTTTGGGTTTTCACCCCATGACTTGTATTAGTATTTAGACTTGTGTCGCGCATGTGACTTCAGGTATCGAAAGTTACCTGTTGGCTAGTCCTTACGGACACTCTTACCTTACTACCATGATGGCAGGAGGTCGGTATTGCTGGGCCCATTATCAGTCTCCGCCTAAGCTAGTTGAGAAACTGGTCTTCGCGTGTGCACTTGACCAAATGAGCATAAGGAAGGAATTCCTAAGTGTCTATTTAGTCAAACATACTTGACCTGGTTAGAGAAACTCATTCGTTGATTTGCACTTGCTAGTGTTGGGAACCCCCGCAATATTGAGATTGGTCCCTCAATATTGCTAGATGATAGCTTACCGTGTTTGCCAAACACCCTCGCTATCATGCCCTTTGTGTTGGTCTCATTTCGGTCCCAAATGCTATTTATGGAAAGTGTCCAGATTTGCTCGTTTGGCATATCTTCGGAATGTAGAGATTGTCCTGAACACAATGGTGTTCGTCCCGTGCCCAAATTCGCACTCTAGGGACATTCCATATTTAGTAAGTTTCGAGCTTGTCCCAGAGACTAACTCCTGATACTAAAGGAGGCTTGGGGTGAAAGCCCAAAGCGTGTGTTCCTCAAGGGGGGGGGGCTGTGGGGGGTTCCAAATGTATAATAGGGATAGTGGGTAGGTTGGGCATGGCCGACCAACCTAAGGCATAGTCTAGCTCCCGCTTGCGTGCCTGTCCTTGTTCTGCGTCCGGCTTGGGTCTAAGCCCAAGTTCCATTCCATGCTAGTTGGTGGAGTACCCATATCCTCACGTTAGGCCACCGGTATGCCGAAATAGCGCCAGACTCCGTTTGGCTCCGTTTTGTGTGCTGGTCCTGGCATTGGGATGCTGGTTGCTCCAGGACTGTTCCAAGTCGCTCCGGGCTCCTGTCCCTACGCTCCTTGGGCTTTATGCTCGGGAGTTGCTCCGTGGTTCGGTTCTGTCACTCCTCGGCTCCATGCTTGGGAGTTTGGCACCGTTCCTTCGTTCAGTGGCCCAAGGCCCTGAACCTCGGGTTCCTGTGGACACGTGGCATGGACACGTGGCATCTGTCACGTGGCACAAAGAGGGTTTAGGTTCCGCTTCGTGGTGTTATCCTATGGTAAATCACCATAGGATAAAGGGTCAAAACCACGTGCGCTACATTTGGTATCAGAGGATGAGTCTCAGCGAGTACTATACAATGAGATTGGGCAACTAGTCTTGTTGCATACGCAGAGATGAAAACGATGATCCGAGTGGGTACACGTTTGGGTGCAAAGACTTCGCAAACGTTCCTTGGGTATGGTTTTGATTACCTTTTGTACCTAATAATGTGAGCTTGCTCTTGGGCTCATAGGATGGATTTGAGATGCTTCGTTAGCACAAGTTTACACTTGGGCTCGTGTGTGAGGCACATTAGCAACTCGAGGTTACACTTTGAGTTGGCAGGATTAATGTTAGCCTATCGGTGGTTCCATAAATTGTTCCATGTACCGTGGGTGAAAGCAAACCTCCTTGGGTTTGCTATGAGTGGCAAATAGGCTGGTCCGTAGCTGTTTAGCACGGCACTAGTAGATCCTTCCTAGGCATGATTACAAGTGGATCAATAAAGACTATAGGGATTAGTCTATTGGTTCAAGTAATCATTGCCGTGCTCTCTTATAAACTTTTCTTGGATTGGACTGAAGGTAGTGCGAACGCAAGCTTGAAGTGTAGTCAAAGATGAGACCGAAAAGAGAGTTGTCGGGGACGAAGGATCAAACACATAAATCATCTTCTCTTTTGGAGAGATGGTTTGCAACGAGGGGTGATTCATTGCTCGTGTTCACATCATGCAATCAAAAGCCCCTACCTTGATGCATGTTGGAAATGATGGTCTTGTAAATGGTGAGTCATGGGATGGATAACGGTGAAGCGCTAAACCATTTTGTCTAGGCTTGCTATTGGAAGACTTGGGTTACAATGCTCAATTCTTTTCCGGGGAACCTAACTATTGCTCCTGGAGTAGCTTGGTGTTGGGTTAAGTTTTGAGTTTGATCGGATAGTGAGTGGCATGAGCTTGTCTGTGTTGTGAACAAAAGTTAGTGGTGTTGGGTGTTGTAAATCTCTATCGGTAGAGTGTGGCATTTATGTTGCATTCTGTCAAGTTGAGTTGGCACTTGATATTCATGTAAACCTTTGAAGTAATGACATTGGCATTGTTCGTGGTGTTGCTCAATTGATGATCAAATCATTGTGATACTTATATCATATCTATGTGATAATGAGCAATGTGTTTACGAAGTTGCCTGGTTAAATGATGATCAA